GCCACACATAGAGACAAACGAGACAAACAACCATTCACTCTCTCACTCACACCTAGGGACAATTTAGAGTTATCAATTAACCTAACAGCAGAGTTGTAAACTAAGTACAAATACTTTGTTACTGTACTTAAGTAGAAACTTTGGTTATCTGTSCTTTACTTGAGTAATTATTTTTCAGACTACTTTTAACTTCTACTCTTTACATGTTTACCCAATTATCTGTACTTTCTACTCCTTACATTAAAAAAAAATTAAGAAAGTTGTTTCTCCTATTTCATTTTGGCTTTTTAATGTTTAAAAAATACTATCCTGAAAAACTGTGGCTCCTGCATAGAGTGAATTTAATTGTGGTTGGATGAAAAGTATAAACACATACCATTCTGATACTGTAGCAAGTTAAACATAATTCGTCAAAGCTGTGCACCTTTAGAAAATAATGCTTTTGAAGAGGTCATCTCCCAATAAATGTATTTTGGAAAATCTAACCGTTCATTTTTACTCGATACTTTTACTTTTATTAGCTACTTAAGTACATTTTATGTCAGAAATTTACTTTTGATACTTAACTACAAAATAAATCAGACACTTTAAGACTTTTACTCAATATTCTCAGAGAAGACTTTAACTACTACCAAAGTAATTTTATGATAAGATACGTGTACTTTTACTCAAGTATCACTTTCAGGTACTGTATACAACACTCCCTAACAGTCATGGTTTTGGTCTGTGGGAGGAAGCCAGAGTGCCTGGAGAGAACCCACTCATGCACGGAAAGAACATGCAAACTCTACCCAGAAAGGTCCCCGAGCTGGGATTTGAACCGGCAACGTTTGTGCTGAGAGGCATCAGCTCTACCAACTGAGCCACCRTGTCGCCCCAGTTGGRTAATATTMATTCAAAATCAAGYAAAAGAAAAAMTTTCAACATACATTACAACCTATTTTGGTATCTGCTTTAAAAACAAATGTCAATAATGTTTCTTTACAGATTTGTTGTGATGTATTTACAGATTYGCAACAATCCCATTTTGTACAGTTTTCTTTCTGATTCAACTGCCTGTCCTTTAAACTGTTTTTGTTGGATGTAAATATAGTTTCAATGAGCTTTTAGCCAAGATTCTTAGCTTTCTATTGATATCAAACATGTCCAGGTTCATCTTAAAGATCTCAAGTTAACAGAAGTTAAAAGATAAAGAAAATGGGAAATTCTGGTGTATGGGGCTCAAGTCAGTGGCTTAAAACATTGTGARTGTTGGGAGGAGAGATGCACCAGCTAATGAGTCAAACATTAACTTTGTCTTGTCATTGACATAATGACAATAAACACGGAACAGGACATACCAACATGTGAAACTCTTTAATATTCTGTTTGATCCAAAAAGYTGGAATTTCAAATAATATTGATTTAGTCTGTGCCAGAGCCTTAGGTCAATACTCCAGATAAGAAGATATCTGCTTCTCACATCGATAAGGAGGAAATGGGCTGAGGGGAAGTAACCATAACAACGAGTGACACTTTATACAACCCTGTTAACCATTTTGAGAKTCAGATAATTTACCTGTGGTTCCAAACATTCTGTGTCAGTTCAAAAAAAAAAAAAAGGGAATACCCATGGACTCATTTTGTTTCTACACCTTGTTTCTAATATGAGGAACACGCTGTGTCAGTTTGTTTATTGTTCCTGGTTATTTCCAGGTGTGCCAGGCTGAGATGTGGTAATGTGCAGTTTACAGCCCGCTTTCATAAAGCCGTCATTAGTGAAATTGCAAGTTTGAAAGTTTAAAGTGCTCCACGTGGAGTTGCTTCACTTTAAAGTATAACTTGGAGAGTGATTAACGTGCCTCTCTCTTCCTATGACTACCTGTTGTCGTCTCTTTATTTTCAGAACAGAAACAGCATACATGGAAGAGAGTATTCTCTTAACGCACGTTTAAAATCCAAGACCCGTGGGCCAAATGTGGCCCTCAGGTTACTCCCGTCTGGCCTGCATGTGTTGACAATCTACCCCCCCAAAAAAGTATATATATTTTTTTACTTAAAGGGATCCACGATTAGTTGTAACAGTAAACTTTATTTGATAAACATTTATTTTAGCTGTAAAATAAAGACTGTAAAAATACTGTAGGCTGTTTAGTTTTGTAAATTTTTAAAAATATATTTTAACATGGGCGGAGCCATTTTATTTACACGCAAACCTAGTTGATGACATCAACTAGGTCATTGGTGTGAGGCTGCTAGCGAGCTATATCCACCCTGAAGGTTAATCTTGGACAATATCTGATGATCGACTCTTTTAAATGAAACCAGAGAGCGTTGACAGAGAGGAGAAGGTAGAAATGACTCAGCCTGGAACTGAAAATATGGATGGAGGACAACAGAGCTGCTTCATGGAAGAAGAACCTCAGCTTAGCCTGTTAGCCTTCACGCTAGCCCTCATGCTATATTGCCTCATATGTATTAGCTCGGCGCTAGCACGACAAACAAGTTAAACTGAGGTCCTCCATCCATATTTTCAGTTGCAGGCTGAGTCATTTTTGTGTTCCCCTCTCTGTCATGTRGATGGAGGACCTCAGTGACGAGAGGAGAATGTGTAGTGCTGAGCTAACACATATATATATGGTGATAGCATCGGGGCTAATGCTAAAGCTAACAGGCTAAGCTGAGGTTCTTCTTCCATGAAGCAGCTCTGTTGTCCTCCATCCATATTTTCACTTACAGGCTGAGTCATTTCTACCTTCTCCTCTCTGTCAACGCTCTCTGGTTTCATTTAAAAAGTCAATCATCAGATATTGTCCAAGATTAACCTTCAGGGTGGATATAGCTCGCTAGCAGCCTCGTGCCGATGACCTAGATGATGTCATCATTTACCCAGAATGCTTTGCGAGTAAATAAAATGGCCCCGTCCGTGTAATATATTTTTAAATTTTTAGTTTAAAAATTATAAAAACTTAACAGCCTACAGTATTTTTACAGTCTTTATTTTACAGTTAAAGTACATGTACATCATGTAAAGTCTAATATTACAACTAATCGGGGATCCCTTTAATATGAAATTTGTTTATATCAATGGTAAACTTTAAATGTATGAATAATTGCAAAAATAAATAAATAAATAAATACATTTAAAAGGTGAAAGATAATAATACTTGTCCTGCCCCTGAGCTGTTGGCTTTAAGTAACAGCAGTTTAGTTGGATAGCACAATAATAGTGTATTAAAATAAGCTGCTTTAAAGCCAGTATTGACCATAAACTACATCTCCCATAATGCATGTCGATCATCCAGTGGGAATTCCCAGTTAGAAAGTGGGAGAGTTCAGAATTTAAGATTGCAGCTCCTCACTACAACTCATCAGTGAGGAAAAAGTCTCTTAGTTTTACTTCTAATAGAATTTCWTTTTTATTTATTTCACATTTAGTCAGTCGTACACGTAGTACTTTTCAGTGTTTATRAGAGGRCGTGTTAAAAAACTGTTTAGTCGAAGTTAAACATGAAACATCAAAGGTAATTACAACTGGCCCTTTAAGGGCCACAAKAACACTCATGTGGCCCTCTTTCAAAATGTGTTTGACTCCCCTGTCTTGCATTTTTTGTGGTGATGTGTTTCCAAATCATGAAAAATAAGTTAGAAGAGATCATCTTAAACATCAAATTAAAGTAAAAAATACGTGGTTTCTTCAAACTGCATTAGCTCTGTAACATACAGTATAATACTARCAGTGAAACCATGGTACTCTATAAAGCAGTATCAGCTTTAAAAAAACAAWTGTCAGTCTTTCTTAGACACTCAGATGCAAAGAATAGATATATTTAGGAGTTACATCATACTGAGCTGGTTCCTGATTTGGTTTGAAACTTGGCTGGCACACTTTGTGCAGTCGACATGTTCTCTCTCTGTGCTCCAGAACTGGTTCCAAAAGCCACAGACAAAGAGATGCATGGATTAAGAGATTACTGGATGTTTAGATTAACTGGAGAGTGAAATAATTGATGCATACAATTTTTAGTGCTACTTTCTGAGCTAAAAAATTCAGACCTCAGTTTATTCTTGACTTTTGATTGCCCAAATTATCCATCCATCCATTTTCCCCTACATATGATTATATGACCTACACATGATTATTATCTTAAACGCTGTTATTATTGCTACAGTTGATGMTGTCACATAGCAATATACTGTTTCTATGGACTGTTGTATGTATCTGCTGCTGCTACTACACCTGAATTTCCCCGTGCGAAACAATAAAGGCTGTTTCTCTTCTATTYGATTATATATCTGYGATACCTGGTTCTGTTCCAAACTTCCTCCAGAGTTCCTCACCCAGTCTGAGGCTGACTCAGCCACAACAGAAGAGAAACAGGCCACCTCACTGAGAATAYGGAAATTGAGGCATGCAAGACTTTTAATAAAGTTTTTATATTTGTTTGTTT